TTTTTTTCTTTTCTTTATGTTCTTATTCCTTTTTATTTATTTATCTTTGTTTGTTGGATTATACATGGGACTGGCTGTAGCTTGGCCAGCTTGACCTCATGATTCATTCTAAAATCCACGTGTTTACAGCATGTGTCATTGTTATGGAACTCCATGTAATTGGTTGTGAACATGGATAGTTGAATAATAACGAGTCTTGAGTTTGGCCCCTTACTTACCATGGGTTTTACTTATCGGTAGATGATTATGTCATTCAGGTGATGTTGAGCACACACATTTGGTCAAAGGGTTGGATTATGCTTTGCTTCATAAAGTTAGAAGTGAAATAGACAAGAAGCCTGATCCTGGAGAAGAGAAAGATGGAAAATCTATGTACGTAACCCCTTTGATCTAGTTGTGTAGAAATGTGGTGGTACATGTTCCTAGATTTATTTTCTCCTTGCTACATTTTTCTGAGGTGATGTATTTTGCTTACACTAGTAACCTAAAACATTTTCAGTCTTTTCTATTTTTCGGCATAGTGCTCAAGACTGAGTACCAGGAGATCCTTGCCTCTTTGGTTCTGATGTGCCAAAATTATTTTTCTTTGTTATGCAGAGTTAATATAATATGTTTTATTTTTGTAAAGTCTTGGTATTATTTTCAGTTTTCCTTATATTGTGTATTGAAAACATCTCCTTTAACAGAGGTCCAAAGGATGACCAGCCAGTAGCATTCCGCACTGCATCAGCAAAGGTGTGCCTGATTTGTCTGTCTTCTCCCCCTGGGTGTTTTGAGTCTGTTGCATGATCTTTGTCATCTGAATCATTTAATATTGTTGTTGCAGTCGATTTATCAGTGGATAGTCAAGCCACAAACTGTCATCAAAACCAATGAAATGTTCCTCCCTGGACGAATGGCTTTTATATATAATATGGTGAGATACTCTAATCTTATATATATTTATTTATAGCATGTTGTGTATGAAATCAATGCTAAATGGTTTGTTCCAAATTTGTTAGTTGATTAATCATCTTTATATTTTCGAAGATAAAGAGAATCCTGAATCCTTCATGTAGCGCAATTATATATTTTGCATTTTGATGCTAATTGAACTGACAACTGTCTAATCCTCACCATATGAAAACAACAATTTAAAACATGAAAAAGTTATCAGCTTCTCCAATGCAAATATATGTGATTTATTATTCAGCCTAGTTGTAACCAAGCCAGGTTGGACTTGATGTAACTACCTTTACGGCTTTACGTGCAGTGACTTATATGTTCAAGCATTATCTATTCTTCGAGATGTAATACACCTTATGTTTAAGTTTTGCCAGGCTTTTTTTAGCAGAACTTCAGTAAAACTTTTCTTGGAGATGGGTCACAGATTCTTTTTTTGTTTGCTATATGTGCGATTGCTTTTAAGTTCAATTAATAATTATGTATCCTTGACTGCATCCATTATCCTTGCACTTTGCTGGGCATGTGCTTTTGGAGCTTGAATGGTTATCCTTCTCTTTCTCAAAAAGTTTACTGATCAGAGATACTAACCAGAAAAGGTTATGTTGCTTGTGTTTCTAGGAAAATGGGTTCTCTCATGATATTCCAACCACAGTTCATAGAAGTAAAGCCGATTGTCCTGTACCTGAGGTGATATTTTCTATTCAATTGCAAATATAACGTTTCACTAGTGCCACTATGCTTTCTTGGTGATGGTTGTTGAAATTCTTTTCCTTTGCTTGCAGGAAATGGTCACTGTCAGCGTTGATGGTTCAGTTCTAGATCGAATAGCTAAAATCATGTCGTATCTTCGCCTTGGTTCGTCAGGGAAAGTTCTGAAAAAGAAGAAGAAAGAAAAAGATGCAAAAGGTGAACCATGGTCTAACGAAACCAGTTTCACTTCTCTATGCATTGCAACATGTGATATTCTAGCGCGGAATGGTCCTTTCAGTTTGCCACTCAATAGTTTTCATACTCGAATTGCTCTTGATATTCATGTGCTATTTAAACACTTAAAGCTAGAGGTGATTGAAAGGGTGATTGCAAAACGATGTAGATTGGATACTAGCATCATCATACATGAGTCAATAACATGCTTTCTAATGTGCCCCTTATTTTCTTTTTGAGTCATTATTATTATTATTATTATTATTATTATTATTATTATTATTATTATTATTATTGTGATCTGTTCTTACTTAATAGTCTCTTTTGGCTTTACATATTCTTTTTATGTTTAATTCCTCTTCTAATATAACGTTGAGCAGGAAAGACATTATCTGTTTCTAATGGATATGTGGAAGATGAGAGGACATTCAAATCTGATTCTCTGAAGAATCAAAATGCAAGAGAGATTCTTCCACCACCTCCCCCTCTTCCCAAAAGGAAGCACCATGACCCGAAAGAGAAACAGGAAATGAGCGCTGTTAGGAATGAGGAGGATGATATTTTTGTGGGTGCAGGCGTAGACTACCCTATTGCCGGTAAAGATATGAGCCAGAGCCCAGTCTCGGAGGACATGGAAGAATCTCCTAGAAATAAAGAGAAAAATTCCTACTTTGCTGAACCTGCCTATGGTCCGGTTCCACCGGCAGAGCTATCTCATGATTGGCAACAAGGGGTTAGTGTGAATGTAGTTATTAGCTCAAAAACAGTACTTTTTTGGTTAATTACTAACACTACTATTGTGGATTCAAAATTACAACCACATTTGTTTCTCTTCTACAGAACTGTTCCCTGAAAAGAGATTGTGTGTTAAATTCAAGTTTCAAAGGGTGTTTATTAAGAGCTCTTTGCAACTACTCATAGCTTCAGGATTAATTTTTTAATTTATCCTCTCCCTCTTTCTCTTTCATTTTTTTTTTTTTAATAAATGACAATTCATTTTACCAAACTATACATTTAAGCTCCATATTTTATCCTTTATTATTATTATTATTATTATTATTATTATTATTATTATTATTATTATTATTATTATTATGATTGCTCAATGTTTTTCAAATGATATTTCATTTGTGTGTAATCCAGAATGGATATGATGCTATGCAAGTACAAGCAATGGCTGGTGGTTACCAGGGGGATTGGCAGAACTACCAATATGCCGAACAAATGGCTTATGCGGACCAATACATCCAGCAGGACTTGCAAGCTTATGAAATGCAACCTGGTTCTGAAGTCCTCCAGGACCCACGCTTCATGACTCAAGAAGAGAAGGATAGGGGCTTAGGGTCTGTCTTCAAAAGGGACGACCAGAGGCTTCAGCAGCTGAGGGAGAAGGATGCTCGTGAGAAGGACCCCAATTTTATATCCGAGAGTTACTCCGAGTGCTATCCTGGTTACCAGGAATATAACCGTGAGATTGTGGACAGTGATGATGAGGCTGACTTGTCCAAAATGGATATGGGTGGTCGGGTAAGTTTTTTGTTTTTTTGGGTTTAACGGAACTTAGCACATTTTTTTATTTATTTAATTTTCCTGTTTGAATAAATCTTTATGGATTGCAATAAAGATCAACACGGTTAATTTAACATAACACTCTGAACTTTCCACGTCTTCACGAATATAGCCCAACATCTAGTCATTTACAATTACGAATGCTTCATTTCGATTGTTCCTTTCTCCTTTTATTAAGAATAGCTTCTAAAATTGTATACACTTTTATTGTCTTTCCGTTGAAAAATTAGTACTAATGACTTTAATTTACAAGGATAGCTTTCTACAAATATGTTCTTTCTCAGTGAATCCATTTCTAACTGTAATCATTTCTTCAAGGAGACAATAATCTTTAGGAAAACATTGCTAGGAGTATCTTATTGCAAATCGCCAAAGGTTTAGGTAAAATTTGGCCAAAGAGAAAAAGATTTAAGGTTTTCTTTTTGTTGATCAATGTTTCAATAAACTAGCGTGACTTCAGTATCAAACAACAGAAAAGTGAAAAAAGGTAAAAATTAGAGAAGTCACTTAATGAGCAATGTTGGCTACCATTAATGTTGGTAGTTTTAGAGAAACTATAGATCATTTTGTCTAGTAAAACAGAGTTGTCATTACAAGTGTTATGGTTTGGCATATAGTAAAATGTCGAGTTTTGATTGGTTGAAACAGGCAAAGGGCCGGCTCCACAGGTGGGACTTTGAAACGGAGGAGGATTGGGCCAAGTACAACGAGCAGAAGGAGGCAATGCCCAAAGCTGCATTCCAGTTTGGCGTGAAGATGCAAGATGGCCGTAAGACCCGTAAACAGAACAGGGATCAGAAGCTTACAAATGACCTCCACAAGATAAACAAGATCATTGCCCGCAAGAAGGGTGAGGGTGGTGAGAAAAATGATGACTCAAGGGCTTATGATGACGAGCCCCATCAAGGGAAGAAGATGAGGATATGATGCAGATGATGGTTTCCCGCTTGAATGTATTTGAGATACTCGATAATGTACTTTTTGAGTTGCCTTTTTCATGTTATTACTCATTTTTTTTTTTTTTTTTTTNTTTTTTTTTTTTTTTTTTTTTGGTTGGCATTTGTATTTGTGGATCAATAGTATGAAAACTAGTTTGTATAATCCTAATTCATGTTATTACTTTCAGTTTTTGTTGTTAGCATTCGTAGTTATGGATAAATGGTGTAGCAACTAGCTTGTATAATTCTTGCACGGTAGACTGATACGATAAATCTGGATTTTCAGTTTTTGTTTTAGATAGATTTGCTTACATCCCGGTCTGATCGAAAATAAAAATCACGTACTGTAACCCAAAGGGGTAGACTAGCGAATGATACGATTTTGTTCTAGATAGATTTGCTTACATCCCGGTCTGATCGGAAATCTAAATCACGTACTGTAACCCAAAGGGAGAAATTCGTTTGCCACGTGTTGTAACCCAAAGGGAGAAATTCGTTTGCCTTATAAATCAAAATATAATTCTTAGTCTTTCTCAGGTATTTGAGGATATACTTTACCACAAATCAATGCCCTTGTCCTTGGTTTCTTTGATATATGTTCACCATGCCCACGACATAACAGATATACGACCTTGTATAGAACATTTCTTGCATGAGGTTTCCTATTGTTGATATATAATGAACTTCCTTCACGTCTTCTATCTGGAATTGTCTTGGAAGACATCTTCTTGGATAGAGGAATTCCACGTCGAAAGAGTAAAACCTCTTTTTGGAATTCTGCATATTGAAATGGGATTTACTCTTTTTGGAATTCTGCATATTGAAATGGGACAATACTATATCTATGTACAAAGATGGGATAAACATAACATTTTTTCTTACACTACATGAATATGTCTTGCTTCTCTCAAATTTTTTATGTCAAACTGTTTGGACTCATCTGAATATTGAGTAGATGACTGGATCACCTCATCGAACCAAATGTTAGAAGACTTCGAAGCTTACTTTAGTTCATAAATTACCACTTTAGTTTACAGACCAGATGCTCTTAGCTCTTAGCGATGAACTCTTATGGTTGTTGCATATGGATGTTTTCTTCAAGACTTCCTTTTACTGAAGTTGTCAAGACATCAATTTGCCAAATCTCATAATTCATATGAGCTACCATAATAAGTAGAATTTTAATGAACATAAGCATGGCTACCAGCAAAACGGCTTCCTCAAAATCAATTCATTCTTTTTGAGTGTACCCTTTCGCTACAAGGCTAACCTTGAAGGTCTCAACATTCCCATCTGATAACTGTTTTTTACGGCGAGAGGTCGGCAAAACCCCACAAGTCATTTTGAGCTCCAATGTTTTGCGTAGAAGGGGTCGGGAAAACCCATCAAAGTATTAGGAACCATGGTGATTTACAACGAAAGATCGGAAGGGACCAACTAATCATTATGAGCCCAATGTTTTACAACGAGAAATTGGGAGGACTCAGACAAATTGTTTCGAGCTCCAACGTTTTGCGAGAAGAGGTTGGAGACGACGAGGTGCTTTGCAGCACGGTTATTTTCAAAGCAAGGTGTTGACGGACACAAACAACAATTTAACATAGACACTCCCAGGCGAATGGTCGATTCATGCCTCGTGTTTCGGAGAGGCAGTTTGTCGTATTCATGCCTCGTGGGTCAGAGTGGCAGATTTTCATTGTCAGGCCTCGTGGATCTGATCAGAGCACATCCCCAAGTAGTTTCGGAGGATTACCCGATGAGGTGTTTCGCTTCCCGACCCTTGTTTCGCAAGTTACTAGCTTACATGGACGGTTAAAGTGTTCCAAACAAGTTTCTGAAAACAAGACTGGTCATCGAACCGGTTAAGCTACTGGTTCAATTGATCATTTGTCCGACCAGTGGTTAATTCAGTTGTACAATATTTAATTTATAAATTTTTTAAAGATATATAATATTTTGTATAATAAAAGTTATAAATAAAACGTTGTTAATTAAATACTAAGTCACTTTAAAACAATCAAATACTTAAACTAAATAATAGTTACTTTTAAACATATATTTTTTATTTATATTAAAAGTATCATATATATATATATATATATATATATTAAAATTTATTAAAAAATTAGACCAGTTCACTGACATTCGATTTATTCTAGCAAATCGGAACAATCAATTGACCGGTTCATGGTTCAACTGGTCAGACCTGACGGTCCGGTCCGATTTATAAACCATAGTTCCAACTGCCGGTTGGCATAGATCCTCCAACTGCCATATCAATGACCATTGGAAGTTTTCATTTTTTATTTTTCTGAATTTGTTATTATTATAATTTTCTTAATATTTGCAAAATAAACGGATAAAAAAAGTACCAAAAAAAAAAGAAAAATGCTTATGTGGGGAATAATTTGGACATTCCATTTTCTAAATTAATTTTATTTTATTTTTTCGATTTTTTTTTTCATTTTATTTACTATTCCTTATAAATTTATAATTATAACAAGTATTTACTATTTAATTGATGCAACCACATGTGTACAAGAATCACAACATCATATGTATGTTTTCTTAGTTACATGAAATTAATCATTCAGTGTACATTTATTTTTTTTTTTTTTTTTCGTTTTAGGCAATTATGCTTGATGAATCTCACATCTCCAACCCGCTTGTGTACTTCACTCCGGTCGAAGGCAGCCATTGGTCCCCACTTATGAACCGGGCCACCGTGAACTTCTCCGCCTCATTCGGATCATTAATCACATGGTAACCAGCCCATTTAACCCGGCCCGACAATCCAGCCCCTGGCCCGTAGTTCATGTACTCCCCGAAGTACAAACTGTCGGTTTTCGTGCTCCCATCCATTTCGAGCCATCCCTCGGCCATAACGACATCACTAATGTACGACTGCATGACGATTGTGTGCGAGTAAATGCTCCAGGGACGGCCGAGGTAGGTCGGGTTGGAGCCTCGGGAAGCCATCAAATCGGGCTCACCCGTGATGTTGCATAATTGGATAGAGAAGCCCGAATTATCGGCTAAGCTTGGTTTGCTTTGGGCCGTGATTACGTTCTTTTGGCCGGGTAGGCCTTTTCGGGCCACGATCTCGCAGTTTTGGAAAACAGCTGTGCCGTGCCCGAATATGAAGTCGACCGTGCCCGTGATTTTACATTCTCGATAAAATTGGCGATTGCGGTGAGCGTACAGAGTGTCCTGAAATCCCCTGAATCCACAACGGTACAACACAGACAGGTCTGACTCGGAATGGAAAGCGACGGCTTGTCCTTCTTCGGGGCCCGCCGTGTTCTCGAACGTCATGTCCCGGGCTATGAATCCGCCACCTTTCGTATCTGCATGTTGTAAGAAAAAATGGGGCAAAACAAGTGCAGGCTCATGCACGTGAAGCGCACCATAAGAGAAAACAACAATGCTTCATTCATAGCATATTATTGTCAACTAATTTAATTTAATTTAGTACACAAATGAGCAAGTAAATTAAAGGAAAAATAAATAAATAAATACTATCTTACGGAAAGTAGCCGATTTGTGAGTGCCCCAGCCGGTAGCGTTGCTGTGGTCACCCGTAATGACGGTGGCATCCATACCGTCCCCGACCAACATTATATTCCATTTCTTGTTATCAATATTGTCAACGTACTCCTTGTACACGCCTCGCTTTATATAAATAACGAACCTTGTAGAGCTACGCTCGGGGGCCGCCTGAATGGCTGCCGTGATGCTCGTGAAGTTCCCGGTGCCGTCCGCCGCCACCACCAAGTCGGCCACCGAGCCACCGGGAGCTTGGAGGAGTTTCTGGTCTCGTGATTTCAGCCAATCGGGGTATTTTCTTTTGGGGACGGGATTTCGACTCGGTTTGATCATGGAGACGAGTTTAGTGAGGGCGGAGGTGATGTGGTCGAGGTCGCCGGAGATTAGGGTTTGGAGGTGGCTGTTGGCGCCGTCAAACCCTTCTTTGCAGGTGAATTGATTGACAAGTGCTCCACTTAGCCAAGATTTCATGTCGGAGATTGAATCTCCGGTGCCATGAACGTCGCCGCCGGTATATATTTCTGCACCACAATTTCATGATGGTCCTTTTGATTTATTTAATTATTCATTATTTTTTTTCATTAGTCATGCAAGATAAAGGGAGGCTTCTTTTATTTGTCTTCTTTTAGCTCTCAACTTTTTGAGAAACTATTTAGTTAAACTGGACGATCTTTCGCAAAGATTAAGTTAAATTGTAGTTCGTTTAACATATAAATTTCATCAATGAATAGAATAATATATTATTATGGAAGTATACCATTTGGATTTTTGGAAACGGAGAGTACGGCGGTCAACAGGTCAATGGTAGAGTCCATCAGCTCAAAACAGTCGTCGGTTGGATCAAATCTAGACACGGCGTCAGCCACCTTCCGGACGACACTGGCGGTGGACTCCACCACCGCTTCGAACTCCGACTGGGGAACCCTCAAGCATTCTGACGACCCACCCATACGACCCGAGAGCCCATCAATCACAAAGCAATAAATTATCACTACCAAAAACAAAACTTTTGGGTTAGAATAAGATGCCATTTTCATATTTTGTGAAATTCAATTTGTGTAATTTGTATAACTTGTGTGTTTATATAGTTGAAGGAGGATTATGATATGGTGGAGTGTACATTACAAGTGAGAATGTAAAAGTAGGGAAATACTACAGCCCCGTTACGGAACCATTCCGTCAGAATGGTCGTCGTGGATAGTTGATCTAACGGTTACAAACCCCAATGGAATAATTCCGTAACGGGACAATGAAAGAGGGTATTTGTCAAAAGGAAAAAATTGCATCTTTTGCATGGAGTCTCAAGCAAGAATCTCACCCTACAAATTTAACTCCAAATCTTGTGGATTAGGGGAATATTACCATATTTGGTTTGGATTTATTTGGTGTCAATTTCGGCAAGTGGACCAAGTGTGCACCCAAAAGATTGTGGTTGTGATTTGTAAACTGTGTTGTTTCTTTTAAGTTTGTAAATGATGATCTCCTACATGCACGAAATTACCATATTGACCCTAACAAAATTTAACCACCAATTATAGGAGGACGGCAAATTTTATCTTTTAATAAATAAAAAAAAAAAAATTACAATTTAAGTATAGATTTTGAAATTTGGGCATTGTTAATAGACTAGCGCACAAACTCCTCGCGTGCTATGCGTATTCGGTGATTCTTAATCAAATCCAGCGTTAATGCATGTGTGGTAGTACTTCAAACAAAATCAATGAACTCAAATTCTATAACCCTCGTATTTATAATCGTCGAATGCGTTGAGCTTAACTGACAAACCCCATGCTACGGAATTTTATGTGACAAAAGATCATGTTTCAGATAGACTTTGATATAATTAAAAGTTCAATAAAATAATAATTAGGCTGAGATTGAATTGAGTATTTATATTATTCACATTAGATCTATGACTGATCACTTCCTTATTTTCTTATACAAATAGTTACTATAAACAATTATATGTTTCCTTTTTCTGCATTACCAGATATTTCATTTCATTTTTTTATTTAATTCATGAACCAATTATATACATGTGTCTTCTTCTATTTTTTAAATTTAATAACATTTTTGTTCCTATCCTTCTTTTTTTTTTTTTTATATATGATATATCAAATGAATTATCTTTTAACGACTTTCGATTTGACATCCATATTACATATATAAAATACAAAATAGTGATATATATATATTTCTAAATAAATTTTAAAACTTATTTATCAATCTAAATTTTAGAAATATAAAGAAAGAAAAATTATCTTATGAAACAATAGAAATTTATTTATATTAAAATATCGTAAAATATTCATTTTAATAGAAAAGAATATATATGACTAAGAAAGAACATATAACAAATATAAAAATATTTTTAAATTTATTTCTCAACTTAAATAAAGACTAAAATGAGATTGAACATTATAATGATTTTAAAAATTAAAATAAATATTAATTATAACTAAAAAATAATAAAAATATTAAAATAATAAAAATTAAAAAATATTAATTATAACTAAAAATAATCAAAATAATTATATTTTTTTAAAAAGTTTGAAAATATTACACCCATACCCATTATATTTAAATTATTGAATATTATAAAGTTAAAGAATATAAAAATATAATCAATGAGGGAAGGAAATTGTGTATATAAAATATTAATCAAACTTGGAAAAATATATAAATTAATTCAAAATAAAATTATTGAGTTGTAGATAATATAAATATATATGTGTGTGTGTGTGAAATATCAAAAATCAAAAATATCATTTTAACACATCGTGCTGATTAAATATTTCACCAATTAAATTTGTATTCTTTACGATAATTATTTAAAGTTGGTTATTTTTAAAAATTATAGGATCAATCTCCCCTCCCCCCTTATATTAATCCAGAACGCCCTGAGTCTACGTGACTGCTTCTGGTGCTTCGGAATCCTATGTGGCAAAATTACATGCTTTGTTATTAGGCTTGGGTAAATTTTAATTTAATTCCAAACAGAAAATAATTAAGTTCGGATTACCATAAATATGTTGATTATTTATGGTCATGTTACATGTATTAATTGCATTTTAATATCATTCCTTAATATAACTATTGAATTGTATATATATTTTAAAAGTTAATAACTTTTGTATTTTTTATCAGTTTTACATATGTAATATATCAAATTAATCTTATTTTGATGAGCTTCGATTTAACATCCATATTGTATGTATAAAAAAAAATAATTTATATTTATCTTTATAACAATAATAAAATTATTTTTAATATTAATTAGAAAAATAAAATTATTTATCAACTAATATATTTATACTAGTACAACACCCGTGTATTACACGGGTGCTTGTTAAAAATTATTCTTAAATTTTAAAATTAATGAGAAAACTATATTAAATTTAGTTTACTTTTTCTACAAAAATAAATATATTACTATATATTCTAGAATGATATGTGTTACTTATGACTTACATGTGTTATATTATATTAGTTTTTATAACTTATATCATATAACTACTTGAAATATAAATATATTAGTTGATAAATAATTTTATTTTTTTAATTAATATTAAAAATAATTTTATTATTGTTATAAAGATAAATATAAATTATTTTTTTATACATACAATATGGATGTTAAATCGAAGCTCATCAAAAGAAGATTAATTTGATATATTATATATGTAAAACTGATAAAAAATACAAAAGTTTTTAAAATATATATACAATTCAATAGTTATAATAAGGAATGATATTAAAATGCAATTAATACATGTAACATGACCATAAATAATCAACATATTTATGGTAATTCGAACCTAATTATTTTTTGTTTGGAATTAAATTAAAATTTACTCAAGCCTAATAACGAAGCATGTAATTTTGCCACATAGGATTCCGAAGCACTAGAAGCAGCCACGTAGGCTCAGCGCGTTCTGAATTAATATATAGGGGGGATTTCAAGTAGTTATATGATATAAGTTATAAAAACTAATATAATATAACACATGTAAGTTATATAACACATATCATTCTAAAATATATACATCAACATCACATCAACATCAACATACCCAGTATATTCCCAAACAGGTTGGGGTCTAGGGGGTCAGTTGTACGCAGACCTTACCCTTGTAAATTACAAGGAGGCTGTTTCCATAGCGACCCAAGGTGCGTTGCGTCGTTTGATATATTTTTTCTAGAAACTTCACCAATAGAAGAAGCACTGGAATTTAATTGAGCCATTTTGATTTAGTCTATTATTTGCACGATGCCAGAAGAATTGTCAACATTGACTCTTCCAGCTCCATTTGCAATGGACTCAATCATTCTAAAATATATAGTAATATATTTTTTTTTTGTAAAAAAGTAAACTAAATTTAATATAGTTTTCTTATTAATTTTAAAATTTAAGAATAATTTTTTAACAAGCACCTCTGTAATACACGGGTGTTGTACTAGTTATAATTGGTTAATTAAATTCCAATTAGATTACTGGATATCTATGAGTGATATGACTATTTTTATATTATTTTTTGTTTCTTGATGTACCTCTTGAAATATTACATAGTAAAATCGAATAATATATAATGTAGAGTTTATAAGTATTTTATAGACATAACTAATTAACAACATAGCAATAAATCTTTTGGATTTCACAATTTACTGCACAATCGTTATTAATTCCAACCTATAATTATGCAGGCAAGGTTATGCCGAATCTTTAATATTTATAGCCTTATGTACATATCTTACCTAATGCCATAAAGTTATTTCGTTGTCACGAGTGTTTTTAAGGTGACATTGCCAATTTGCCGGCTTCCAACCTGTTCGGCTAAAATAAAACTCAATTATCATTTATCACGAAACTCTATCAATATTATTTCTTTGATATTTCGGGCGACATTTTTGTTATAGAGCCATCAGATGAATCGACTTATAGGAGTCATTCATATTTATTCACCAATAGTGTGTTGACACGTGTCTGCAATAAATACAATTTGGACAGGTGTCAATACATTAAGAGGTAATAGATAGCTCCGTAAGAAAAACATTCGATGGCTCCGTAATAAAACTCAAATTATCAGAAAACTGATGAATCATATTTTTCCAATAATATCTATACTTATATTAAAAGGAAACCTATTTACTAAATATAGTAGGTAGAAAAGTCAACTTTAATTAATGAACTTCTAATTTTATCAAGTAGTAACTAATGCATTTATAATTTTAATCAAGTTTCCTATTTTACATATTGTTTTTAATCCTTCTTATCTTGACATAAAAAAATTTCATAAAATGGGGTGAGCAAAAACAATCAAAATTCTGTTTCTAAAAACTACAAATCAATATTACGATTTTGAATAATACACTAACAAATTATAATATATTTTTATAAAACTTATAAAAAACTATTAAAAAAATTTGGTTCGTATATTTGTATGGATATTTATATTTTTTTTAATATTATCTTTGTGTTAAAAAAAAACTATTTAACACTATTATTTTTTATTATATAATAAAATAATAATTAAATATTATATGATGAAAAAGAATAAATAAAACTGTTACTTTTTTCTTATATCAAGGGATAAATTTATATATTGAAATTAAAGTTTTATTAGTATAAATATTTTAGTGAGATAATATATTAATTATTTTACAAGCTAGCCCTAACATACTCATATTTAAGTTCTGGCTAAAAAATAATGCTGGTTAAAAGATATGAAAAAAAACTTATAACCTTATTATTTTTTAGGCTTAACGTTGATCAAAAGAGGTAGAAAATAGATAATAACACTATTACTATTAAGATTTAAACGGATAAGGCTGTTAAAATAACTCATTTAATATCTATGTTCCGTGCATCGCACGGGGTACGTACTAGTTACAACATTAAAAGTGAAATGTGGGTTCTTTGAAAACAACATATATATAAAGCTATTAAGCT